CAAGAGAGTGATTGTCACAAAGTTTGCTGTGAGCCCTGGGCTTGACACATCTTCTAGCTAACAGGTGGAGGGGGAATCGCTGCCCTTACCTAAACTCCATTTTAACTCTGAGAGTAACTTCTGGGGTGGGGGAAAACTACATTTAACAGAAAATCAGCCATGGTCAGGCCCCATCTACACAGAGAAGCTACACCTGGAGACCATCCAGTGCATACCAGCAGAGGGGGGAACTGGTGTGCAGAGACCAGGTCCAGCTGCAGAAGGCCCACCTCAGTCAAGGGTAAATCCACCACAGGTCAGGTGCAGTTCACAGATCCCTCCTTTAGACTTAGCTACCAGTCCTTTGGCTCTGACCCTACACTTTACAACTAACTAGCAAGTCAAACAATCTTAAAATGACCTAACATCAACCCTGGATGCTTTTAACTCCTTTACAAACAAATAAACCTTCCTTCTCTATCACTAACTTAGACGCCATGGCACCTGCCCAAGCCATGGGCTCTCGCCTCTCTCTCCTCTACCTTCCCAACATGCGCTTTACGTTCTGTGTCAAAACTCTTACAAAATCTTTTCCCAACCCCCCTAAATTCCTGCCTTTCAGATCATGGGACACACTGTTCTGACAGAAGAAAACCAAGCAGGTAGTTCCACCACAGGACAAGTATACAAAGGCTGCTTTTTTAACATCCGCCCACCCTGAAGCTTAACAAAAATCACATAACCAAAGTCACGAGAAGAAAACGGGGGAAATCAAGCCAGAGTCCATGCTTCCAAGCAATCCAGGATGTGCCTGATGACCACAGGCTCACAGCTTGCAAGAGGTAACATCGCCATGCCGCGACAGGACAAGCTTGCAAAGTCCCTTGTGCCAATCCGTGAGGCGCAGGATGCTGTGTGACCAGGCTTTGAGAACTGTGTCTAGAGAGAAAAGAGGAAGACCCTAGCATGGCGGGGCACGACAACAGCTCTCTGAGCAGAGGAAGCGGCGGCGGCGCTCTTTCATAGGTCCGAGCTGTGCCATCCTGGCAGGACGCCCTTGGCCTTAGCCGGGCTTCCACACCTCGCCCAGGGCTTCCTCCAGCTTCTGCCTGTAGGCCGTATAGCGCCGCTTCAGGCTCTGCAGCTGTTCATCTTCTTCTTTGTCCAAGATACGCAGGAAGTTCTGCAGCTCTGGGAGGCTGAAGGCTTCCCACTGCGGGGGACAGAGAGGAATACGCCATGTTAGCTCAGAGCCCGGACACGATTACTTCAGTTCCCCCTCAACCCCCACTCCACAGACACAAAGGTTCTGCTATGCAGCACAGTCTGGTCTTGAACTCAGGGCCCTCCCGCCTCAGCCTTCTGAGCGCTGCTTTTACAGCATGTGGCACCAAGCCCTGCAGAACACTGTCTATAATAATGAAGTGGGGACTACGGCTGCCCTCAGCAACTATAACGCTCCAGAGAGACATCGACTCCCCGCATCTGCACCTGGAGTCGAGGTCTTGCCTTCTTCCCTGCCCACAATCTCATCAACTCCTGACAGTTCCGGAGTCCATCTGCTTTCTCACCCAACCTGTATCCCAGCACCAGCCTTCTCGGTCTACTCCTGCCCTCTCCAACCACCCCTGGCACTCCTACACACACAGCCGTGGCAAGCACTCATGGTTAAAAGCATACAGTTGGCACCCACTGAATGTTCACACGAAGCAATGTTGTACCTCCCCAGTCCCATACTCAGTACCCCAACTGGCTTAGGGCATGCTCTAAGGCTTAGTCACTAAGCCTTCGGTCTGTTTCTCCTATTATCTTACCATGGCCGGTTCTATTAACACTGGTTATCCCTAAAGCCAAGACTGCAAATGAGCACTTTTTCATCCAAATTTCCATCAGTGACAAACTGAACTCCATTTAGGACCTCACATGGTCTCCCTTATCACATTTGAGATGGGGGGGGGCTGTCTCTTAAGTCCCCTGTTTCTTTTACACACACACACACACACACAGAGCCCTGCTTTGCTTTGCCTAGCAATTTCCTGCTCACCCTTCTCAGAGAGCATCTACCTTCCTGAGAAGCTTTTCAGGGAAGGATCTTCTACCCTCCCTTCCCATGCAAGGCTCTCATTTTGCCACTAAGCAATGACTGATGACAGTCCTTGTTTAGTGTCTCCTCACCTACATCTGCCCTGCATGGCAGCTGGGTGTGTCTCACTACTCGAAGTTCTAGTTCCTAAGAGCACCCCCCCCACGTCAGATGCGATATTGCATGCACACACGCACGCATGAGCACACACACGCAGGCGCTACATTGCACGCACAGATGTGCACACACACAAGGTAGGAGAGGACCGTGAGGTGCATCAGTGGGTAATACTATCTCTTGTCAGGCTTGACGACACACATGTCAGAGAGAACGGACTACTGCAAGTTGTCCTCTGACCTCCAAATATGTGCCGTGCCAAGTGCATGAGCACACATCCACACAAAACAATAAAATATAATTAAAACAAGCTTTTTTTTTTTCTTTTAAAGCACCAACTAGCTTCACAAACCTGGTGATCTGAGTTCCACCCCAGGACCCACCTAAATGTGGAAGGGAAACATCTCCTGGCTGTCCTCCGATCTCTACGTGTATGTATGCTATGGTACACATGCCCACAAACACATACATACACACACACACACACATACATACATACATACATACATACATACACACACACACACACACACATCATCATCATCATCACCGTCTATCTATATGTATGGATGCACACACACACACACAGGTTTTCAATTCAGAGTTTCTCTGTCCAACAGTCCTGGCTATCCTGGAACTCACTCTGTAGACCAGGCTGGCCTTGAACTCATAGAGATCCGCCTGCCTCTGCCTCCCGAGTACTGGGATTAAAGACACGTGATACCACCACTCCGCTAATAATAATAATAAATAATAATAATAATAATAATTTTAAAGGAAGTATTTAGTATCACTTTATAGATCACTTTGAGGGGAAGGCTAGAATAATTAGAAAATTAGCCTCAGGTCTTATCCCCCTCATCTAAGCATAGTTTGTCTCCTGATGTCTAAGCCAGCACGCCTGTTCTCCCAGCTTCACGGACAATTCACACTTCTGACGTCTGGGGCCATGGCCTGGAGAGTTTGTCCAGGACCACTGAGAGCTCCAGATGATGTACAGCGCAGCCTGAAATGCTTCTCTGTGGACACCCCAGTACATTGTCCCTGGAGAGACAGGGATGCTCTTGCAAACAGAACTCCCGGGTCCTGGGCTGGTTGAAGAGGGAAGCAGATTTCCTTTATTTCCCTGTAGAAGGAGACTGGCCTGGAGTCTTAGGAGCAGATGTAGAGGGGAGGCCCAGCTGGATCAGTCATGTGGGGCTGGGAAGAGGTGACAATTGCTCTTTGCATAGCAATGAGTAAGAACTGCTATGTCCTCTGGCTCCTAAGGAGGACACAGCAATATAATGTCCTAAGAGAATTATATTGTACGCTAACGTGGGTTCATTTCAGACGATTCAAAAATCTCACCCCACCCTGCTCCCTCTCGCCCCACCTCCTTGAGGCAATACAGCAGGCCGGCTGTTCTGTGTAGTTTGATGCCTTTGTGAACAGTTCCTCTCTTACCTCTCCAATTTCATGTTCTCGAAGAACAAAACTAAGCGTGTCGGTTCTGGGTCCTGCTACCAAACGCAGGTAGAGTGGGTGTTCCCGGTCGGAGAGCTTGCAGGCATACACTAGGAAAGACGACAAAGAGCATTTAACAGAGGTTGCCAGTGATTCTGAGACAGTGCCCCCCCAAATCCCCATCCTGACATCACAGCAACAGTCCACACCCCCACACCACATCCTGACATCACATGAACAGTCCACACCCCCACCCCCCATCCTGACATCACAGCAACAATCCACACCACCCACACCCCCACACCCCATCCTGACATCACAGCAACAGTCCACACACCCCCACCCCATCCTGACATCACAGCAACAATCCACACCACCCACACCCCCACACCCCATCCTGACATCACAGCAACAATCCACACCACCCACACCCCCACACCCAACCTGACATCACAGCAACAGTCCACACCCCCACACCCCATCCTGACATCACAGCAACAGTCCACACCTAAACCTCTACATCACCATTCTCTCACCCTAACACCAAGGGCCCACAGTGAACAAACTGCCCAGTATGCACCATGCCTTGATGAGGAGGAAATGAGTTACAATAATAAAATAAAATAGGAACTTGCCTCAAATGTGGTTACAATTCTGTCCCTCCTGTCAGAAAGATGGAAAACTTCTGTGGGGGCTGGGGGTGGGAGATCTTAACCCCTTTAAAAACAATGAGAATATCTCCACCAAACAACATGAGCCCAAAGCCCTAGGAACAAACCTCTGCAAATTAAGAACTGGCAGCCGAGCAAGCCAGGCACTTGTCACACAAACAGTGTGCCTCTACACAGAAGAACTCTAGTGTCCAAAGACACGCCAGCCACAAGGATGACAATTTGGCAGAACACTGCCACTTTAGATCATGCAGCTGACGTACAGGTGAGCTGGCAAAGTTGCTGGCAAGCTGAAAGTGTCATCAGACCGTCCCTGTCCCTTGGTAGTTCAGATGCATCTTACAGCGTAGTCTCCCAGTGGCTCCTCCTCCTCCACCAGGCTGCTGAGCCTGTAACTTCAGGAGGGCTGGAGCTCTGACTTGCCTATCTTTCCGCTCCCGAGGGCCTGTGTTTAACAAATGCACACCCTCAGAAGGAAGCCGTGTGTCAGTCACCCTGTGCAGCTGAAGGTCATTGCCATCATGTCAAACTCAGCACATTTTCTTCTGTGGCTGCTGTAGGCTTTTCCCAGAGAAAAACTGGGGAAAGCTTAAGCAGCTCACTCGCCGCTGTCTGTTGCACTCCCCAGTTAACACAGAGAGAGTAAACCGTAGACACCAACTTCCATCCAAATGCCTCACCCCATTCTGAAAGGTAATCTAAATATGCTTTCAATCCCCTGGGCATGGGCATTAAGTTCAGATAGACCCCAGCTCAAACACCATTTATACACGTGCCTCTTGGTCCACCAAGCCACCGCACAAGTGTGGTGTGAACTTAAGATGTGAATGTATTACTGAAGACTTCAACCACGGGAGTGTTCTTTTGTGTCCTAAAGGGCATGGAAATCACTTTCACCATGCCCTCACCAAACCTGTCCCTTCTGGACACTCCAGCAAATCCTCCACACATAAATCTTCAACATACAGCAGCCTCAAAGCCCCTCAACCGCTCTTTGACTCAAAAATACAAACAGCCAATAACCAAAAAGATCTTCCATGACATAGTGTGGCTTCCACAATCTGTCCCTGGGCTTTGACACGGCATCAGATGTCCTTCCAATTAAGGGACATACACAGAGCAGACAGACCACTTTCACTTTTAAGTGTGGCAACGTACCTTGGTCTTCCCTGTGACAACGCTTATAAAGTGCAAACTTGGTGGGGCTCTCCGTCACCAGAAACTTCTTGAGCAGGGCCTCGATCACTTCTCCCACGGTGTTGGTGCTACTGATATGAAGTGTGTTCACACAGTCACTGCTACTGGGAGGGGTCTGTGTTGGTTTGCAGAGTTCCATCTGCACCTTAATGAAGCCAGTGTAAATCCCATTTGAATTCTGAAGATGGAAGAGAGGTCACACTGAGTGTGGGGGGTCAGCAGAACAGGGAAAGGATGCAGTCCAAGAATCATTAGGCTTGTACTTGTTCAGCAAGTGGCTTTGCCCTCAGAGCCTTCTCACCAACCCAAATTTCACCTTTTTTGGGGCCCGGGGGTGGAGAGTGGGGTGCACCCCCACATCTAATCAGGGATTTTCAACTTCAGCTACAAAGAGATTAAACTTAGAAAGTTGCAAAAAATACCCTATTTTTCCTGTTGACCATGAACTGTTACTAGATTAAAATAGACAAATCATACTACGTATTACAGATGTGCACCACCCTATCTGGCCTTCTTATGGATCTTGGGGATCAAACTTGCCAGCTTGTACCGGCCAAGCCACCTCTCTGACCCCAATTGTCTTCTGGGAAGAGCCAACTGAACCAGGAAGTACTTACCAAGGTCATCTTCAACTTGTCTGTGACTGCTAAATTGTACTTATGGACTTTCTCTTTGATTTCCTCTTTGCTGAGGTAATTGTGAGTTTCCTTCTCTTTCTCCACATCCTAGAAGAAAAACAAATTATGTCATGCATGAACAACTATAGGGGCTAAAAAAAAAAAATGCATATAAGCCAGGATTCTTCTACACTCCACAAAAGAGTAGCTAGGCATGTTTCTCCTTGAGACATGCACCACTACTCTGTTTTCCTTTCAAACCCACCAGACTCACCCACCAAGTGTAACTCTCATTTCCCACACTGGGGTAATGAAATCAATCCACCAGCAACTAAAAACTAAAAACAACACTTCATTAAATATTATTCTGCAAATCTGTCTTTGCTAAATTTTCCTTCTGCAAAAGTATCATTTGGCATAGTACCAGCTAGCAGACTTCAAACAACTGTTTGTTTATTTACCTATTTATTTTTTTCTGAGGCACGATTTCTCTGTATATCCTGGCTGTCCTGGAACTTGCTCTGTTGACCAGGATGCCCTCAAACTTACAGAGATCCTCCTGCCTCTACCTCCTGAGTGCTGTGATGAAAGGTGAGCACCACTACAGCCCGGAACATGTTTGTTTGTTTATTTATTTATTTATCTTTTTATTAAAGATTTTATTTATCTATTATGTATGCAACATTCTGCTTCCATGTATATCTGTACACCAGAAGAGGGCACCAGATTGAATAACAGGTGGCTGTGAGCCACCATGTGGTTGCTGGGAATTGAACTCAGGACCTCTGGAAGAGAATCAGTGCTCTTAACCTCTGAGCCATATCGCCAGCCCACATGTTTATTTTTGAGATAGAGTCTCATTGTATAACACTGGCTGACCAGGAACTAACAGAGATCTGCCTGCCTCTGCCTCCTGGCTGTAGCCATTGCGTCCGGCTTCAAACAATACTTAAAGGTGTACTCCTGAGCATCTCCCAAGCACACTTTATTAATGTCATGGTCTCTCCAGCTTTGCATCTATATTAGCAGCAAATATAGCAGGGAGTAAGTGCCAATTAACCAGAGGTAGCATCAACAACATGTCAAACTACGAACAACCAGAGGGTAACTTACCTTCCAAATAGTCCCTATGCCAAGATACAAGTGACCAGACCCCTCTACCCACCACCTGCCTACTTCTCCCCACACCCTCTCTCCCCATAACCCAAAAATAGTGAAAATAGTGACCCGCTAAATTCTCTCATGATCCTTTAGAATTCATCTCGTGTCTTACCTAGTTTTATGTCAACTTGACACAGGGTAGAGTCATTACAAGCCTGTAATGCATTGCCCTGATTGGATGATGGGTGTGGGTGGGCCCAGCTCACACCGGTGGTCTTGGGGGCTATACAAATGCAAGCTGCCCATTGCTCCATGGCCTCAGCATCCGTTCCTACCCTTAGGTTCCTGCCCCGATTTCCCGGAACGACGGACTACACACTTTTCAGATACAACCTACTTACAGACTCGTCATCTAGCAGGAAGGGAGCGAACAGACAAGCAAGCCCCACGGCCCTGTTGATCATCATAGTCTGACCACAGCAATGGAAACCCTAACTAAGACAACACAGGTGCAGCCATGTAGTCACAATGCCTAACTGTATAACACCTGTCAAGTACACCAGGCACCTAATGGAATCACATGTAACTCTCCTAGCCACCCGGCAAAGCTGGCGTAATTACTCAGTGTCCAGGTAAGACCGAGTTGTAGGAAGTGAATTAACTGCCTGAAGCAAGGAAACTTTGATGCTGAATGAAGGCCTGGTCCCCAAGCCCAGCAACTCTCCTGAGCCCAACTGTCTAGCAGCCTGTAGTGTCTCCCCACAAATGAGCTAGCTAGTCTCTCTGTGAAATGGAGAAGTAACAGGAGAGGTTTGCAGAGTTAACAGGGCCTTCCAACGGCATCCCCACTAAACTCTTATCTAACTCCAGGTCCTATAGGTCATTTCCACCAAACTAGATAGGTCTCCAAGGCTCTGGTATAGACAAACATTCGAGAATGCAAAGAACATGTGTGCAGCGGGATTCAAATTCAAGGGGTGACTTGGAAAAGGTGAGACTAAACACCTTCGGGAGCGATTAAATTAGGATGGTTTGCCCCCCCCCAAAAGAAAGTATGAAGACATGCCTCTTCCAGCTAGCCAAATCTCACCATGCTCAGCAGGGTGGTGGTGGCACACACCTTTAATCCCAACACTAGGGAGGCAGAGGCAGGCGGATCTCTGTAAGTTCAAGACCAGCCTGGTCTACAAGAGCTAGTTCCAGGGCAGCCTCCAAAGCCACAGAGAAACCCTGCCTCGAAAAACAAAACAAAAAAAACCCTCATCATTCTCATAGCTGGATATTCTCCAGGCAGACAGCTGTTCCATGTGTGATCCCTGAGTGGCAGTGGCATAAATAAATACACCAGGAATGGCCACTATGGAACCTACGGGCGGAATGGCATCCAGATATAGAGAGTTTTTAGGCCCTAATGATTGTGATGGACATCAACTGACTGTATTTTCAGTTTCTACACTGGTCTGGCTGGCGCAGTCTCCAGAATTAGAACCCAGGCAATACTGGAGAAATACCAACAGGGGCAACATGCTCATCTCCTTGGCTCCCTGGACAAGCCTGAAAGCCCCTTTGGAATATTGCCAGTATCAATGTAGCCCCCACCCTACCCTTGTAACATTTGTTGTTACTGTGGGTTAAGATTTTCTAAAAGAAAATTCTAAGGAAATGTAAAATTTGTAGCCCGAGCTGGGCAGGGTGGTCCAGGCCTTTAATTTTAGTATCTGGGAGGCAGAGGCAGATCTCTGTGAGTTCAAGGCCAGCCTGTCCTCATTACAAGTGGCTCTAGGACAGCCAGGGCTACACAGAGAAACCATGACTCACAATAAATAAATAAATCTCTCCCCGACATTCATTCCAGTTGACTAATCAGCCAATGGCCACAGCTGACCTGGGAAACGAGGTAGCCTTTGTCTACATATTCAATTTGTAAGTAATAACTGCCCCAGGGGCTCTGCAAGGCACATATACAATTGTTCCTCGGAAGACAGGGTAAAGGACATTGCCTCCTCCATAATTGCAAACTGTGTATGTTCTTATAAAAGAAATGGCACAAGATTTGCAAAATACTTAGACATCTCTTCCCACACAGTTTAAATCATCCCTGGGTTATTTACCATGCCTATACAACGTCAGTGCTCCAGAAACAGTCGGCACTGCATTGAGAAAGTAATACTAGTGAGAAAAGATCATTCTGTGTACACTCAGTACACATAGCAAATGGTTGGCTGAATCCACAGACAGAAACCACCTGTGGTAGACTGGGGAACAGAGCTCCTCCTGCTGCCCCCACATTGGGTTCAGATGGGATACGATTCTAAAACAAACGGGTATAGTCAGAATTGCATAGCCTGGGCTGGGCAGTGGTGACACACACCTTTGATCCCAGCACTTGGGAGGCAGAGGCATGAGGATCTCTGTGAGTTCTTCTACAGAGTGAGTTCCAGGATAGCTAAGACTGTTATACAGAGAAACCCCTTTTGGAAGAACAAAAACAAAACAAAAAAGAATAGCCAGCCTGGTGTGATGGCACATGCCTACAATCCCAGCACTCAGGAAGCAGCTAGCGCAGGCAGCTGAGACCCTGTTTTTAAAAATAAGCAAAAAAGAACTAGGGAAATAGCTGAGTGGTAGCAAGCACAAGGCTTTGAGTTTGATCCCCAGCTCTGCAAACAAGCCCCAAGTGTGGGGTGACAGGAGAAACATGGCATACCAGCAACGTGGGGGTGGCAGGGGGAGCTCTGTTCCCTAGTCTACCACAGGGCCTTGGGGCTTGGCTTGCTCACCCTTCTAGGTCTGTTTGCTCACTTCCTGCTAGATGACCAGTCTGTACGTAGGTTGTATCTAAAGAGCTCCTGACCTAACAGCAAAAAACGTCTTCTCTTCCGAGATCTAATCTGATGCTGTTCTCTAGTAAGACCAAGGGAGGGACATAGCTCCATATAAGGAATCAAGGAGGCTTAGGACTCCAGACCACAAACGACACATAAACAGTGAGCACTGCTTGTGTATCCTGGGGCTTCACCTGGGTGTGAATCCTAAGGAAAAGGGGTGAAGGGGCAAAGAAAGGGTTAAATTAGTCAATTCCCAAGGACAGCCTTGATGTCACAGGCTTAGAGCCAGCCCCTAGGTCCCTGGAACCACAGACCAAAGGCACTACTGTAAGGCAGATCAAAAGAGCCATGTCCCCCGGATAACCCCCCCACACAGCACAGCACAAAGTCTTACGTAATGGTTATCTTTACTTCTCAGAGATTAGACCAAGGAAAGACTAGAAAGCTTCCAGAGTTGGAGCCCAGGACCTACAAGACCCCTTCTGGGCTGAGCAGTTCATTATTCGAAGGTCAACCTGACAATAAATCCTAGGAGAGCAGAGAATTTCAGAGCTGGGTTCAAAAAAAAAAATGGGGGTGTCTACTCATATACCAATCATACAGGCTTTGTGCTGTAGGGTAGGGGGATGGATGGACAGACATGGGACTCACTGAAGCAACAGTAATCTAGGTTGAGTGTGTCTGACAAAGTCAGCTGCTTCAACCGTGACTGCACAGATTGGGGTTAGGAGAGTGACACTGATTTCAGGTGGGGTCCGAACTGGAGAAGAATCCCCTATCTTGGAAAGGTTCTGATTGTTTAACCTTTAAGAAAGACTCTAGTCTGACAACCTGGGGAAGAATCCCTCTCTAAATACATCCACAACCATGCAGAAGGGAGGGAAGGAGAAAATGCAACCCAAGTGGGGCAAAGAGCTGGGAAGGAAAAGGGCAACGGGTAAAGACAGAGTTAAATTGTGGCTTGGCAGGCATGGCACACAGCACAGATCATAAGCAGGACTCTCACTGCAGGGCAGGACAGGGAAGGGCAGGGACAGAAGCCTGTGAATAATGCATGGTTATTGCTCTTGGCAGCCAGGGAAGGACTGGTGCCACACCCCAGAGCGTCTGCTGGGCAGGTTACAAGTCATTTCTGTCTGAGGCCACAGGGAGAGTTCTGCCATGCAAATTCTAACTCTA